CTTCCTGGTCCCGGACTCGCACGATATGGAAATCAGATGCAGAGCCCGGAAGAGCGTCAGCGCCTGGCTTTTAAGGTGGGCAGGGAATAGGAAACAGGTGCAGAAAATAAAGTCTTGAGTGATAGGGCTGGAGCACCCTTAAGGAGGGGGAACTAATATCGTGACACTGAACTATAAAAGTGTACACAAATTACACTGAAACAAAATGTAAATGTTGTTCTGTAGGAATAAAATACAGTTAATGTACATACATACATACATCGGCTCTCATCTGTGCTAAAGACAAGACACTGTGTAAAAGCTAGCTCTTTATTATTCATTTAAAATAATATAACTACTACAGCGTACAGTTGAAAAGGAACAGAAGTTCTTGCACTTTTACACACCTTTCTTTCTTCTCCCTTACTTATTTTTGCTTGTTTCAAACATGACTGTCAAAAGCCTTGAATTTCAACTTGTGTGAAGTTCCCTCCAGCCCACCTGCCCCACGTGCCCTTACTACAGGTCCTGCTCGCTGGCGCTGCCCACCTAACCGCCTCTGTCCCTCCTGATGTAGTTCCAGCCCATGGGTGACCACCAGAGCCAGCCAGAAGGGGTCACAGAAGAGACGACAACCCACACCGAACCATTCCAGAGGACGCAATCCGGACCCAGCTGCTTGCATCTCCACCTCAAGAAGGGCCAACAGGATAGCTGAGGCCACCTCATACAGAATCATCCAGGCAGCAAAACCTAGAAGACCTGCTGCCCGCCGAGCCCATACTGAGCCCAGCATTAATCCTGCCAGTAAAAGGGTAGCACCGTCGAGTCCAAGTAAGGCATAGTAGTAATACTGGCATTGCACAGGCAGTAAGGGAGTGCCCGCTTCACTGACACGGATAGTGGCCTTGTGAAGGTGGCCACACTGGAAGACAAGCTGCATGGTTCCCACCATCAGGAAATACAGGCCACCCACTATGGTGCCTGTGCGAGGGCTCATCCCACACAGGCCCTTTGACAGGTAAATCTTCATCGGGTTGAGTGAAGAGGAGTAGAGACAGAAGAACAGTATTGAAGGGAAAGAAAGAAAGAGGGGAGAGGAAGAAAAGGATAGATGAGGGTACAGGGAGACTGGTACGATGGGGAGGGATAGGATGATGGAAGGACAGAGAGAAGAAAAGAGGGATGAAAGAAGGGGAGAGAAACAGAGACGACCACGAAGGGGAAGTGTGATAGGGGCAGCGAAATAGCGTGCAAGACAAGTGTGAATTGATGGGCAGGGAGCCTGGGAGAGAGGAACAGTGGAAAGACCAAAGGAATGGGGGACAAAAGAGTTGTGGGAGGAAAGACAAGGCACAGAAAACAGAAGGAAAAAGTCAAGAGGAGGCAGAGGGAGATAATGGGTGGACAGAGACACAGATGGAGAGCGAAACAAATATAGTGTGGTCTCTGATATTTCTGTCTTTCTCCTTGTAGTCTGTTATAATCCAGACACTGTCTTCAGAGCATCCTTACACACATGCCGGAGGTCTCTGTGTCTTCTGTATCAGGAGACAAGATCTGATCAAAATCCAGACTTTGTGTTCTGCACATTTGCCCAGCACAAAATTCAGATTCAGGGTGTCCTGAAATTAGATCAATTTTGAAGAAAATGAATCAGTTAAATTTGTTTTTGTCATACAGAGAAATATTGTTTAATGGTGGAGAAAGAGGCAATATACAAAACCTGGAGGGAAAGAGCTAATTGATTTATAGCAGATATTCAGTAGGGCAAGATGCTAACTTGTCGTAAATTAGGATCCATGAAAAAAAAAATAGTTGGACCTCTTTCAGCATCAAGATCAGCTTACACCAAGAACAGTATAAACAGCCTAATCCTATATCATTCTATATCATTCTTCTAGAAGAAGAGGTTGCAATAAGAGTAACAGCATACGGGCATAAACTACACATTCAATTTTGTTATCATGTTCAATGTGAATGTGAACATGTTTTGGGGATTCTTTTGAAAAGGGAAGGTGATAGAAGGTGATAGAAATCTCTTTCTAACTCCCTAAGACAATCGTACATTACCTGCCACCAAGTGTGTTTAATCATTTGACTGCATGTGAATATACATGAATGCAATACCAAGCAGTATTGAATTTCAAGCATTTGCACACACAAAAAATAAAAAAGACAAAGAAAACAACAACAAAAAATTAAATTAATCAATAATTACTCCAAAGGTTGTTATGAGCACAATTACTAAAATAATCTACACATGTACATCCATTTTCTAACCACTTTATCCAATACAGAGAAACCTGTGCCTGTCTCATCAAGCAATGGGTGCAAGGCAGGATACATCTTGGATGGGACACCAGTCCATCACAGGGCACACACAGACAAAAACACAATCACTTACACTAGGAATCTCCTAGAAGCCAGTTCACCTACAAGACTGTCTCTGGACTTTGGGAGGAAACCCACATAAATATGGGAGAACGTACAAACGTCCCACAGATAGCACCATAGGAATTGAACACAGGATCCTAGCATTGCAAGGCAGCAATGCTAACCAAAGATCCACTGTGCCACCCATTATGGTTATAATTAAAGTATTTTTTAGGAAAACGTTTAGGAAGAACTGCAATAGTAATCCTAACCTCTCTATGTTCAAATTTGAAGTGAAAACACTATTATCTTCTTCTGATCAAGGCTGATTTACCTGCTCCAGAACTAGTATAATCCTTTTTATATTTTAATAGATTCTTGTAAATTGATAGGTTTTATAAGTTATCTTTAAAGCTCTGAACTGAAGCTCTGTTTCTATTAGCTCTGTGGCATAAATAAATGGAACTGACCTGAAAGGGAGAGGGAGAAAGAATGGAAAAGAAAAAAAGGACTTTTGACTTCAACCAACAGTGGTGTGACAGTCAGAGATGCTGTATTACAGCTCTTGGACCACGGTCTCAGTTCTGAACTGTGGTGTCTTCTGTGTAGAACTTGCGTATTCTCCCTGTGTCTGCATGGGTTTTGTGCTCTGGCATCCCTTACCTTCAGGAGACATGGTATCTAGGTTAATTGGGGTCTGTAAATTGCTGCTGAAATGCATGTGTGAGTGAATCCATGTGTGCATGTGCCCAGGCAATAGACTAGTGTCCTCTCCAGGATGTTGTCCCACTTTGCGCCCAATACCTGCCTGAGCAGGCTCCAGCACACTGGGACTCTAAGATAAATCAGCTACTGAAAATGGATGGATTTTAACCAGTGTGGTTTAGACAAAAGAAAAGTCTAGGTAACAAATTTATCCACTATGTGACAACCCACAAGCTTCAGTCCACAAGTATTATTGTCTACTTACAATAATCAAAAGAATAATAAAAAATATAAACTAACCAAACCTTTAGTCAATGTTAACCTACACTTTACATTAATATGTTGCCATCCTCACCAGGAAGGAAAGCATCAAAAGATTCTTTGTTTTTGCTCCCATCTGAAATCTGAAAGAGGCCTACAAGTGCAACATAACTATGTTGTTATGTAATCTGTTATTAATGAAAAAAGAAAACAAATAAGTCAATGTATTGTATTTTATTGTAATTTATTGTATTGTCTGTTATATTTTAGCTACCTTTATACCACACCAGCCTCCACTTACCCGAAATTGTGATTTTTAGAAGAATTTAAAATAGAAAATGAAGTTTCCGATCCATGTATCACCAGTTCAAGTCTTGAGTCAGGACATGAGTCGATTTAAAATTGAAACCGTTAAAACGCGCGAACAGGAGGTTCGTTGGGAATCCTTAGGAAACTCGGTTTCGGGAACTTTCTGGGAAAGAGCAGAACTGTCCTAGTAAAACCCACCATGGTGTCCTAACTTTAGAAATCCACTATGCTGCTACGAAACATTAATGCTTGTATTAGCTGTTAGTAATCACAGAATTATCTACAAGCCAAATCACGTACAACCGATTGCGAATTTGATCCATTTAAACCATCATAACATCACAGCGTTCCTTCAGTGTAAGACCGCTGTGTTAGAAATCACTATGTCGTTTTGTTAATAGGTGTGTCTATTGCTCGTCTATGGTGGCAAAAAAAAAACTATCTCAGCACCTTATACTTTTGTCGAATTGTTGCAGGAACAACTATTACTTTGATAAGGAACCGTGGACACTTTATGCACAGTACAACCAAAACAAAACTAACAAAAAGTAACTCGCCTTTCATATTTGAATAAAGGATATGGTGAAAGTATGCGATACACTAAAATGTTAGTTGTAAGCAGAACTTCAGAAGGTAGTTTTCTGGTCAAGTTGATACTGAATAATTGATCACCATGAAACATTACAGCGTTTGCAACCCTATTGAACGGACAAAGGTGGTATAATGCAGCTCCTCAGTTAAATTTGACAGGAAAACAAATTAACTTTTTTCTTAGTTCATCCTTCAGTTTCAACAAAGTCGTAGTATATTTGAAAGAAAAATAGGCCATATCGAAAATTCGAAATTGGGAAGAATTTAAACCAAAGTTTTGCTTCCTACATGGACGTGAATATCAAGCACAGTTCAGATAAAGCTTTTAAAGCACATTTATTGAAGCTCTCTTGCCTCCTTTGTCATGTCTCCTGCTCCTGCTCTACCTCACCATTAGAGGTCCTCGCAGCATTTCGTATAAACGTTTTCCTAAAATCATGTGTGCTTTACAATCATTAGAATTATTGAACGGAAATTTAAAATGAAAATTGTAAAACAAGGAGAATAAACTTTACCGGATAGATTTTTGTGTTTAAAATAAAAAAAACCTATTTGAAACATACCTTCTGGTGGTATGTTGAAAGTCTAATTATATAGTCAAAAATAACTACTTTACTTAGATAATGGCGAAGATGTGGTTGACTTAATTTCTTAATGAGGGCACTAGGGCACAGCTATCCAGTACATCCACCTCACACAGAAAATAACTTTCCTTGGATGTTTTCTGTGTCACCATCCCAAAATTATTTTTCCTCCTGTACACTATGTAGACATTGTCTAAAATTTGAAAGAAAAACATATTTTATAGAAAACATATTTCAGAAACGTTACTGGACACCTTAACAATATTGTTTTGAATTCTTATAGATTTAGACTCAAAATCACTATGTCCCATTTGCTTCCAGATTTGCAATAGACAGAAGAAATCAGTCAAATCACCTGTATGAAATTTGTAAGCTGTTTTTTCTTAACTGAAAGAAAATGGAAAATGAAAAAAAATATTACCCAGTATTTGTTATGTATTTGGATCTCACAAAGATAACCGAATTAACATTTACTACCAGCATGTCTTCAGAAACCAAAGGAAACCAGGGATATTCAGGTCTTACTCCTGGGATATTCAGTCAGAACTCTCAATCCATACTTGTAACCATATAATCACATTTATTTGGAAGCAATAACTACATTTAAGTTTTGTTTTTAAAATTATTTTTAAGCATAATTCCAAATATTTTAACAGTGTCATTGAAAGGCCTCTATTATCTCCTGTGATTACTTGATATATAATCCTAATAATATTAGTATCAAACATCAGAATACATCAGAATTACTGTCATTGCATAAAGTTTGACATTTTTTAGCAGGTTCCATTGCCCCTTAGAAATTGTTAAAGTCAATACTCTTTTGGTAGTAATCATGTTACGCATGAATAGCATGATGAGCAAATCTTTATCTCTGGATTTAATTCCATGAACACCTGTGGTCATAGTCAATTACAGTTATGTACAAATGTGTCCTGTCTGTAGAATGGAAGTTAAAAATAGAGAGTGCTCATGAAATACATGATCTGTTTTAGTGATTCTAAGTGCCCATAATCACATTTTCAATTATTTCTAAACGTGGTCCAGGAAACACAGTACAATAGAGAGGCTGAGTTAGAATTTATCTAAAGCATATTTTAGGTGTACATGCATTGAAAGCAGTGTAGTGTATCTAAATCAAGTAAAATCAAATATTTTGTTTTTTATTTTGTTAAATATATGCTCACAACTACTTCATTTTCTGAATCATCTATGATGACCTATTAGTGCGGATATATTGAAAACAACTTATTGTATAAACCCCATCCTAGCAAGCACAAAACAAAGACAGCATTATACAAAACGTTCAAAGACAGCATTATACAAATCATTGTTCCTGAAAATTACTGATTGTAATGTATTAAAGTCTGACAAAGCTCTGTGATTAATCATTGCTGTGATGCATGCTGTATTTTTCTTTGTGCAGTGTATGGCTATGATTTTTTAATTTGCACCGTCTTTGTGCAATCTGGGAAGGCAAGGCCAGCCGATACTCCTTAATGAAAGTCATGTATCAGAAAAGCTCGGATCAGGGATTTGATTGAGGAAACTGAAAGAAATCAGGCAGTAAACCTGCAATTTTCAGCTAATGAACTCCTGTTTAAAAGTTGAAGAAAACACACTTACTTGAGCTCTAATTGAAATTAACTTCTGAAACTTAAATCCTTGGGGATATTTAAGCACTTGAAACCATAAAATAAGCAGGTGTAATTTTGAAATGGAATATTAAAATCTTTAATGTCTTACATTTCGAGCTGGAATATATTAGTTTAGTGACATCATAAGATTAAGATGGAATAAATGTGTATCACATACTTTAAAAAATATATCAATGGAAAATTAGTATTTTAACAGCAGAGCCCAAATCCCAAAGAAATTCATGCATGAAGTAATGCATGCAGTAATTTCTTTGCATAAAATCTTAAAATTACGATTCATCCATTCTTTGAAAAATACACATATTTTCATTTCCAGAATAAGCTTACATTTGTTACTGATAATTATTTTTGAATCATTATCTACATACAGACATCAGGAAAGTGAATCATTGTTAACAGTTTGTATAATAAAAGACTGCATTAGTAATCAACAAAAAGTCAAAACTATATACACTCTTAGCAAAATCAAACTGCTAAAAGAATTAATCCACCAGCTAGGTAATATTAAAAACTGACACCTAAAGAACTCTGGGGCATGTTCCTGTACACTTGACTTTAGAAAGAAAATTATTTTCAAACTTTCTTAGCACGGTATTTGCAAATTAAATACTCTGAGAGATGTTAGAGGAATTAAAATAATCCCCATCCATGCAAATTTAATTATAAATGAAATTAAATTTGGACTTAAATCAAATTAATAGAAAAACCTGAGGAAGCCTCATCAACCACACACATCACACATCACCTCTATAAAACAATTATGAGAATTTGGAAAATGTCGAAAGCAGTACTTAATCGGTTTTTTAAAAAAAAAACACAGACCTGAAGAGAAACATTACCCAATATACAGAATAGCTAGAATTCATAGATTTGTTGCTCCACAAGCACTTTTCTTGCAAGTACTAGAAATCTAGTAAGTGTGAGTATTGCATAAAAGGTATAAATCATAGCATACAAAGTAATTTTTTCAACAAATAATGTATTTTACTGATGACTTTTTGTAGAACACGTTTAGTCTCATAAGGACATCACCCAATCTTGATAGTGATCTTGATATGTTTCAAAGGGAAAAAGAAAAAGTTGTCTCAGAAGCTATACCACAGTGCCACCCTAGAACTATGTCGCCTTTACTCAGTGCTGTACTGTCATCTACTGTGTTTATGCACCTTGATGGTCTGATAGTCGAATGATCTTGTGATTCTACTTCTAGGGATTTCCAGACAATGAGGTTGTTAATGGGTGCTCATTGGGTCCACATTCTGAGGAAACACATGCTTGGCCCTTTTCAAACAGCACCTTTCTGAAGATGGTATAATTATCACAGTCCAAAAACATACTGTTAAACTAATTGGCTTCTGGGAAAGCTGACCCTAGTCTGTGTTCGCTCACGATGGACACGTGTCCCGTTCATGGTGTACTCAGCCTTGTACCTGTTGCTTGCCATTATACTGTAGTCTCTAGCTCCTCCATGACCCTGAGTGAGATGAAGCAGTTCGAGAATGGGTGGATGAGTGGATACCTTTGCCTACATCATAGCACATGAGGAACTGCAAAATCATGGCTGTAGGGTTAATTATTATTGAGGCAAAGGGTGAAATGGATGAAGATGATGCCCTTTCCGTAACTATCCTTTGAGTTAATTCTTCAACAGCACTACTTCTGTGCATAAACATTGATGTAAATTACCAGCATATGTTGAACCCCATTTAATATACAATAATGTATAATTAGGGAGAAGCATATACATCCAGATTAAACAGAACCACCCCATGAAGATGACCTGCATGGGTCTTACCAGTGAATTTCACTGACTTTTGATTTTGGAAGTATAAAATAATGTTTTTTTTTTATACCTGGATAAATTAAATTAAAACATTTTAGCAGAAAAAGAGTGAAATCCAAGCTAATCATTATTGATTTTTTTAATTATTAAACATTTTTTTTTTCAGTATAAAATCCAAGTTACAGCGCCATGAGCACCTGCCTGCTTAGATTAGCAAACTTTCAATTCTGTCAATACCCACCAGAGGTCCTCGGTGTCACAGATATTAATAAAAATGTTATTTCTTTTGGACCTAGTCAACCTATTTAAACAAAGCACTACTATTACAGTTTGGCCCGTTGTGACCTAGTTTCCTGCCACCAACACAAAAGATGAAATTAATATTGATGAAGTAATAAACGTATATGCAAGTGTACACACAAACATGTAAACAGGAATGACTTCATTGTCTTTTTTTGCAAATGTTTTTGAGAAAGAAATGACATAGTTATGCAATTCAATGTGTTTTTTCAGGAAAGTTGACCTAAAACTGTAGTATTCACCTCTGCTGTGAAATATTAAGCAGCTCGGTAGTTAATTAAAACCAGCCTGCTGAAGGTCATTGATCTGAGCTGCATTATGCAGCAGATGCTTTCCCCCTGGCTAACCGGTGGGG